AGTAAACGGTAAACTGGTCGATACAATTGGCATAATTGGGTAAGTCTAGATTTATTAAAAAAAAGTTAAAAAAATTAAAATAAAATGAAAAAAATCTAAAAAACTATGAAAAGTATATTTAAAATATGGTTAAACGAAACACATCCTGAAGTTGGAAATTAGGGAAAAATGGATTTTTTTTAACATTAGTGAAAAAATAGATTTTAAAAATTCCAAGGGTGTTTTTAAAAAAAATTCAAAAAATGGGAAAAATGTAAAGATAAGTATTCAGTTTTTAAACACTTTCCAATCTCTGTCGAAATGAAAAAAAAAAAACATTTAAAAGCACATTCCAAACAAATCCCTCATTTTTTTGGGATCAAATACTTTATATTTTGAGATTTCATATAATATTTTAATTATTTTCTAAAAAATTTAAAATACACCACTAAAACCCGATCCGGCGGATTCAAAATTAGATTCGCCGAGTTTATGAACTCTGGGTTAAGGGTACAGAGTGAAAGAGAGAGACCTTCTAAATTGATGAGGGTGAGAGGACGAGAGTGAATAGTTAGTTTGAGTAGGAGAGAGAGAGAGAGAGAGAGAGAGAGAAAGATTAAGAGATCAACTTCAAAATTGATGATGGGAGGTGTAATTGTAGTGATTATGATTCATGATTGCTTGTTAAGCTAATGAGCTCAAGCATCAATGAAAACTGAAATAAATGGCACTGTTATATCTGTTCTGCCACCCCATGCCCATCCATTATTATTCCATGAATCCTTGTGGGGGTTTTTTTTCAACACCCTGTTCAATGCAGGCAATGGGGACTTAATTGAATTGGTGCCCTCCGAGTCCTAAAGCCCTTGGAATAACTCCTAATCACCACCACACGTATTCCAAAGCACTGTCTTCTGTTTAGAGAGAGAAAGCGACAGCATTTCCTTCCTTTTAGAGAGAGAGTACATATATTGAGAGAGAGAGAGCATATATCTTGAGAGAGAGAGAGCATGGTTTTGGCTCAAAATTTTCTGAGAATGCAGGACCAAATTTCCAGCTTTTACCTGCTACCCCTGCCATGGCTGTCTTCACTCCCAACGGCTGTCTCCCTCACTTCCATCAACTCACCTAGAGAGAGAAAAAGAGATATTCTAGAGAGAGAAGGGGTTGGTGGTTGTGTTGGAAGCAGTGTATCTGTGGGCTGGTCAGTCTGTAATTCCAGGAGCATACAGTCCCAAGGAAAACTAAAAGCTAAATGAAATGTAGTTCAATATGTGAGAGTTACTATGTAGGCCTCCCAATCAACTAAACATAAATGTTTTGTTCTAGAGAGAAAAATGAACCTGGGTTGCAAAGGTATAAATAACACATCCCAATACTTAAATCATTTGTAACAAAATTTCAAGTAACTCTAGTCATCACAAAATTACACAAATTTAGAGAGAGAAAGAGAGACAGAGAGAGCACTTGTCTAGATTTTAGACTGCACACAAATATGGACATTGTGTGCACCTGTTTTTGGGCTTCCTAGAGACACAGTAATGCTCCTTTGAGTAATCAGAATCTTAAACATGATACGTTTCTAGTAATAAACAATTCCATAAAGGGTCACTACTAATGATAAAACAAAGTTTAACTAGCTGCTAATGATAAAACAAAGTTTAACAAGCTGCTGATGATAAAACAAAGTTTAACAAACTCAAATGTAGAGAGATTTAGATGTTTAAAGCTGCATCCCTTTCACCATTTCTCCTTACAAGTGTTTTAAAACATGGATCAGTGGGGTGGGGGGATCACCCACTGACACATTTTGATACAGATGGGTGGGCAGTCTAGATCCGGCAACCTCAAAAAAAAATAATAATAAATAAATAAGAAGGATATCTAAGCATTTTTTCTACCTTTTTTTATGTCCTTTTTGTTTTATAAAACTTAGTAAG